TATCATACATACATATACATATATATATTGATATTGATATTTTTGAAAGAACATAGAGGTATTAAATAAATTATGGAACATTTATATGAGGAAATAACATATACCCTCTGGAAATCATAATTTTAATGGCTTTTAATGAAAAGAAGATTTTCATGGCATAAGTGTAGAAATCAGGCTATAAAATTAAATAATTCACAGAGAAAAAGAGAGGTAGTTGGGCCTATTGTTTAAGAATGCAGGCTGTAGGAATAAAAAAAAATGATTGTCACAATTGATGCAGAAAAATCATTTGTCAAAATTTAACACCCTCTCATGATAAAAATACTCAGAAAACTAGGAATAGAGGGGAGCTTCTTAAATGTCACAAAGGGAATTTATTAAAAACCCACTGTGAAAATCATACAGAATGATAAATAAATGAAAGCTTTCCCACTGCTGTGGGTTGAATGTGTCCCCCAAACGTTCATATGTTGGAGACTTAATACTCAGTGTAACAGTATTAAGAGGGTGGGAAATACAATTATGGTAATTGAAAGGTAAGGCCTTTAAGAGGTGATTAGATTGTGAGGATTATACCCTCACGAATGGATTAATCCATTGATGGCTTAATGAGTGGTAATGGGCATGGTTCTGATGGCTTTTAAAAGGTCTCTTGCTCAGCCATTCACCATGTGATACCCTGCGTAGCTGTAGAGTCACCACAAGAACAAGGCCCTCACCAGATGTGTTCCCTGAACCTTGGACTTCCCAGGCTCTAAAACTGTAAGAAACAAATTCTGTTTTCTTATAAATTACCAGTTTCAGATATTCTGTTATAAACAACAGAAATGGACTAATATACCAACTAAGATCAGGAACAAGACAAGGATATCCACTTTCTCTACTATTCAATGAAGTACTGGAAGTGATAGCCAGAAAAATTAGGCAAGAAAAAGAATGAAAGGCATCCTAATTGGAAAGGAAGAAGTAAAACGATCTCTATTTGTAGATGACATGATCTTATATGTAGAATATCCTAAAGAATACCAAAAAAAAACCTATTATAACTAACAAAAGAATTCAGCAAGCTTTCAGGACACAAAATCAACAATAACAGAAAAATCAGCAGTATTTCTATACACTAGCAATGAACAATTCAAAAAGGAAATTACACAACAATTTAATTGACAATGGCAGTAAAAAGAATAAAATACTCAGGAATAAATTTAACCAAATATGTGAAAGACTTCTAAGCTGAAAATTATAAAATCATTGCTGAAAAAAATTTTAAAAGACCTAAATGAATAGAAAGACATCTTGTGTTCATGGATTGGAAGACTTAATAGTGTTAGGAGGTCAAAACTCCACAAAGCTATCTACAAATTCAATGCAATCCCTATCAAAATTTACTAGCCTTTTTAGCATAAATGGAAGAGCTGAATCTAATATTGATATGGAAATAAAAAGGGCCCCAAACGGCCAAAGCAATCTTGAAAAAGAACAAATGTGGTAGACTCACACTTTCTGATGTCAAAACTTACTAAAAAGCTACAGTAATCAAAATAGAGTTGTACTTGCATAAGGATAAACACAGAAATAAATGGAATAGAATTAAAAGTTCAGTAATAAACCCATATATCTATGATCAGTTGATTTTCAACAAGGGTGCCAATACCGTTCAATAGAGAAAGAATTGTCTCTTCAACAAATGGTGCTGGGAAAACTGGATATCCCCATGCAAAAAAAAAAAAAAATGAAGTTGGACCCCTACCTTACAACCTTGCAAAAATTAACTCACAATAGATCAGAGACCTAAGTGTAAGAGATAAAACTGTTAGAAGAAAATATTAGGGTAAATCTTCATGACCTTAGATATGGCAATGGATTCTTAGATATGACAACAAATTATGAACAACAAAAGAAAAAATAGATAAATTAGACTTTACCAAAATTAAATCTCTTGTACATCAAAGGATACTATCAAG